ACAACATGCTCAACTGGCTGTGACCAAGCATGGCCTGCCTCTGTTGGTGATTTTATAGTGCACAGCGAGTGAAACTTGGGACCTTATTGTTTTCTGCAGGTCGGTATTTTTGAGAGGAAGATGTACCTATCCATTAACCATTTGTAGTTTTTCTGAAATGTGCGGGAAGCCAGGCTTCCTGAGCCTCAGACGCCCTCTTTTCTCAGGCTGAGAGTGGAAGAGAAGAGGATAGAGCCCTTGTTGGCTAAAACAGAGCATGAAGGCGTGGGTATTTAACTGGTGATGCAGAGTTTGGCTCAGTGCAGGAGTGTGTACATCATGCTAGCTGCCGTCATTAATTCCAGAAGCTGCTGGAGTTTTCTCAGATCTCTGTCAGACACTTTGTTATGAAGCAGCGCTGCACATTATTCAGTGGCAGCTTCAGGCTCTGCCAGCCCAGACTCACGGAGACTAATGCCAAGGTGCCTCTCGTACTCCTCTGGCTTCTGAAAAAGCTTAGACACTGTCTTAGCTTGTGCACAAGCAGCAGATCAGCCTGATCTTGTCTGTGGGAAAAAGTCACTGAATCATAGCAGTTGGGGTTTGGGTAATGGCTGGACACTATGGGCAAATATCTTATACAGTGCTGTACGAAATTCAGACCATCCTTCATATATTAAATTTATAGTCAAAAATGTCAGTGGAGAACTAGTAAGTTTATAGTTATTCAGTTTTAAAAAAATGGGATTTCTAAAATCAGTACAAGACCTGGTAGACTACAAACACTGCCACATCAGATAACCAGCACTTAAAGCTTTCATATTTGAGAGGAAAAAATTAAGCTCCATTCTTGCTTCAGATCTGAAAAAAATCCACAGGTGTTTGTCCATCCTTCCACTGTCCATCAGCGCTGTGAGTCTGAAAGTATATGTAGCTGTCAAGTAGCCCTTACTGAGAAAAGAAAATTTTCAAATCAAGCAAAAAAAGTTGCTTGTGTTTTAAGAATAATGGACTGTACACCCCTATACTCAGACCTCAACATCTGGGACCCCACAATCTCCTCTTGTTCTGAGATTTTTTTTCTTTGGTCTTCAACTGTCCTGCTGGTTTGTGCTGCTGTGAGTGAACAGCTAGACTTATTCTCCCTCTTCATTTGATGAGTATAGGATGTGCAGCGCCACCTGGTGTGCTAAAGCAGTAGCTGTTCAAAGTTCAAGCCTTTTTAGATAATACCGGACTGAGGAATGGATTGAGAATGATTTTCATAAATACCTCAAATGTGTGTCAATATTAAAACATGCTTGATTTTAATTATCGTTATTGTTTTGTTGCCAAGGCCTAGAAGACTGCTTTTTGTTTTGTTTAGGCCTCTGTATTGTTTGTCTGTCCATCTGACAATTTCAGCTTTTCTCATCCTGATGTGAAAATAAGAAAATTACGATTCGTGCATCCTCCACCCTGCAGACACACCTGCAAACTCACAGCGCTGACTTTCTCACAGTTTGCCTGGCCATAATCTGCTTTAAGCTTTCAGCAGATCACAGCGTTTTCCTGAACTGCATTGTTTTCCCAAAGCGATGCAGTTGTTTGTTTGATTGCTTTCTTTTTGTTTGTTTTTTTGCCATTTGCAAATTTGTGTGGCACAGATTAATCAGCTTTGTAATGCAAGAACAAATTGGTTTGGCACAGCATGTAGATATCCGTGTCTGTAAAGCAAGGCATTGTTATTCTCAGCCATGCTCCTGTTTTTGGTGCTCCCCCACCACCGCCACACGTATGAGCTCTATAGTCCACAGACATCAAGCCTACTGGAGGCAGAGCAGCGTAGCTGCAGGCTGATCAGCCCAGCGGAATAAATGCTGGCAGTGGTGACGGCCCACAGAGCACTGTTTGCATATGTTTTGTGTGTGTGTGGAAGTCTACTCTGCTGGATTGTACACAAGTTGATATGCAGAGCCAATAGCATGAGACCATCTACATTGACCATCAAATGTTTGACACTCATCTTTTCAGCAGGCTTAGAATAAAAATAGCATGTTCTCTTTGTCAGTTTGCAGTACCGTAACATATTAAGGGCTAAAGAAGTTTGAGGAAGACAATAACGTGTTCATATTTCTTACAGTGCTAGCGTGGGAAAGCCAAAGCTCACACGTTTTATCCCCTTGTTGTAATGTCAGCTCTCAGGATCTTTCAGTGTTTAAATATGTTATAGTATGTGCTTTTAATAATAAGTTTTGTCATAATTATTTACAAAACCTGCTCTTTACACAGTACCCTCCATAATGTTTAAGATAAAAAAAAAAAATGCATCTTTATGTGCACTCAAAAAATTCACATGTAGTTAAAGTTCACATTCTCAGATTTTAATAAAGGGCATTTTTTTATACAATTTTGTTTTACCATGTAGAAATTACAGCACTTTTTATACATTGACCCACCATTTCAAGGCACCATAATGTTTGAAACATAGCAGTGGTATGTACAGCTTGAAGTCTGCAACTCATAGACCTCACCAGATGTTGACTGTCTTCTTTGGTGAGGCATGTACTACAGTAGTCTTCAGCTCCTGCTTGTTTCGGTGGCTAGACCTATAAAGTGTGTTCTTCAGCATTTCAAAAGTCCTGTGGCTTTTTCCTGAACTTGAGCTCATGAGACGTTTCTACATATCTTTTCTACTGCCATCAGCAGTTACGTCATTAGTGATCAGTGAGCTATAACACCCCAACCCTGCGGTCTACAGAAAAGCTGATATGCTTTGGATTTTGAGCAGTTCCTTTTTCACCTCCACACTTGGCTCTTGCCATAGCTCTGATACAAGTTAATCTTGGTCTCATATGTCCACAAGACCTTTTGTACAAAACTCTGCAGTTTGTTTTAAGTACTTTTTAGCAAATTGTAACCTGGCCATATTGTCATGCTTGGCCTCCCAGTCCCTTAATTATTTCTAAGTACACCAATTCTCTCTTCCTTCTTAATGATGTTCCAAACTATTGATTTTGGAGTGCCTAATGTTTGGCTGATGTCTTGTTTCTCAGCTTTTTATTTGTTTATCTGACTTTCATTAGCACAACTGTGGTTCTCGTGTTGACAAACATGTCTAATTCTGTTTCTTTTTTCTAGATATCAACATAGACTTTTGTTTCTGGCAATATCTGAGCTCTGGAGTAGCTTTTTCTCTAAGCTGTTTGTACTAGCAAATATACATTCCCTGTGTAGACAACAAAGCACTTTTGTAAGTCGCTCTGGATAACAGCATCTGCTAAATGCTGTAAATGTGAAATAAATCAATTAAACAAACCTGAGTGATCACAAACACCTGTGAAGCCCTATGTCCCAAGCATTATGGTGCCTGTAAATGAAAAAAAGGATGCTTTATCCCAAATTATATGGAGGGCACTATATTAAGAAAGACACTGAGCATGAAACTGAGCACTGAAGCTAAATGCACCCAAAGGATTAGCACACTGCTGTTTTGTATACAAGACATTTGCAGGTATTTTTCTCTTATGTAATTGAACAATAACAGCAAGACAATTCAGTAACACTTTTTTAGACGTCAGCCTACATAGGAACTATATAACAAATGCATATGCATTGACGAAGAACATTTGTAAAGCAATACTTGGGCATTTGCAACAGTAATTGCAAGATGACAATCTTACAAGACGTTTTATGAAGTAAATGACATTGTTGGTCCAAGGTAGGTCTAAAGATATGTAGTCCATTTATAACAGTGTTATGAAGCATCCTTCACATGTAGCAGCACGTGTAAGGTAGGAGCCTGGATAGGAGCACCAACACCATATATCAGTTCTATGGAGTATTTTGATGCCTGAATACTTAAGTGATAATTTTCATACATATTGTTTGCTCAGGTATCAACAGTGTGTTGGGATATTATAGATATTTTGTTATATTACTTTGATGGACAAGTTCTATTATGCTAGACAGTGTGACTGCAGACATGAAAAACAGAGTTGGAACCTAAAAAATGTGGCCATTATCTAGGCCCCAGGAAAGTTCCCTTACTTGGAAATGATGCTTAATTACAGTATTATAAATGTGCTAAATGTCTGTCACTTAGAGTAAGACCCCTTATAACAGTACAGTGCCGTTTACCTCATTAAAGATCTTATGTCATCTTGCAATTACGGTCGTTAATATTCAAGGATTGCTTTATAAATGTTATTCAATGCCTGTACATGTGTTATGAAGTGCCATCATAGGTAGCCTTCAAAGAAAGTGACAAAAAAACTATAATAAAAAAGCAAAGTAGAAAGCCAAAAAAAGCAGAGTAGAAAGCAAAGTTTTAAAGTACAGTGTAGAATACTGTGTCTCTCTCTCGCGCGCTCTCTCTCTCTCTCTCACTGCCATGTATTAATTTCAGGATTGAGCCGCCAGTTCTTTGTGTAATGTGTCCTGGGGGTGCTCTTAGAACCCAGTATTATTTTGACTGATTTACGTTCTTAATGACAAAACCCCTCGCTGCCCCTCCGGTCTGTCAAAATGAAGCTGTGAAACTTTTAGTGAATAGCTGCACTCTTTCGCTAAGCTTTTATTATGCATCATTAGCGGGAGACAAGCAGTAATTTGTCTTTCAGAGGTCCAGTAAGAGCTGTTTGCTTAACGATGTTGTCATGGTAGTTGCATCAGGTCATGAAGCAGGGTGTCCTGGTGGCCTCGTTGAGCGGTCAGAGGTCAGCTGAAGTCAACAATCAGTTTCAGATTTAGCAGATGCACTTCTTGTCAGAGAGAGAATATATGACATGACCGGTTGAAGTCAATAACACGGAAGAGGGAGATGTTAGCTCCAAGGTTGTGCGGTGATTGATGCTGGGATGGATTGTGCTCAGACATTAATCATCACTTGTCAGAGACTGAGAGGAACAGGATACTGAGCAAAGTGGCACTTAGGCTTGTGCATTACACCCTCAGCGAAGGAGAGACTGTTTCATGAACCGTCATCAAAAAGGGCTTGTTCAAAACTAACAGCGTTGTTTGTGTGTGTTTTCCCTCTACAGTGGTATAGGCAGGAACTGGCCGTGGGCGTCTGGAGGCAGCAGTATTTTGGCGGAGTACGGCACACTGCATTTGGAGTTCATACACCTGAGCAGACTGTCTGGGAAGCCTGTGTTTGCTGAGAAGGTGAGAGCTTTGGCTACATTTCCTTCTAGTACATTTTTGCCTTAAAGTGATTGTTTGGCATAAAAACAAACAGTAACACTTTACTAAAGAGCAGCTTGACATAAAGGGTTATTCCAACAAGTGTCAGTAGTCACAAAGGCTACTGTTGTCAGTTTCAGTGTCACTTGACCTCAGTACCTGTTAGGGCAACTGCCTCTTGTTGGAATAACCCTTTACACATGTCTGTGTAGGTTTGTCAGTTGTCATGAAAGAGGTGTGAGTGTTGTGTAGCCTTATGGACACTGCTCCACAGAAAGGTGCTACCACACAAAGTGCGCAATTTTCTGTCTACCCTGTCATCCAAGAATATGAATGTCTAGATCCAGTTTTGTGTTTCCCTATCTCAGTGCTTTAAGCTTTCTTGAGCGTCAGCCGATACTAACCTCCGATCTTTTTGTTTTCAAAGATAATATACAACACAATTAGGGTAAAATGCACATTTTATTGTGACATAAATACACTGCAATTTCATGCTACTTTACAGTGTGCTTTAAAAAGTCGGCTTTTTTCTCTCAATTTTAAACATGCTGTTACTTTTAACTGCAGTTTTAAACCAATAGCAGTGCGGCACAGCCGCCAGTAGAACAGAACCTTTCCAACGATAGTTTCATTTTAAACTATCACAACTCACAAGTAAAAGCGTGGTGGGAAGTGTAATGTACATTCTTCTGGTGGCAAAAACAAAGCTCGAGGTGTAATAGCCACTTGCTCACATTTTACGGTCCCATATTTTGACAAAAGGCAGCTGGCTTACACAGTCAATGCACACTGCACATATGAGGTTTTACATTAAGTTTTCATTTCCTTTTTCAAGTAGTTGTTTTAAACACAAACATTCAGACCACTTATTAGCCTTTTGATGCTCCTCACTGCTGCAGGTTTTGGATAATATGCCTGCATCGGCTTTGAACCTGATCCACTAGATCAGTGGTTTTCAACCTGTGGGTACATCATTAAGTGCAAACTGAAGCATAAAATACAGCGGTGAATATGAAGCCTTATCGCACTCTGACAGAAAGAGTCTTCAGGTGACAAAGATCCTTTGCTCCTCACAGAAAGTTCAAATGATAACATTGAGTTGGGCTTCTTAAGGTGCACAGAGAAAGCAGTGTTGTCAAATTGGACGTTAAACAAATATGCATCTAAATATATTGAACTGAGCCAGACCTCCTTTTGCAACATTTCTTCAGCATGTTATCTGTCCCTTGGTAGCTGCCACATGACATCAGCTAAAACATTAGATGAGTTAGAAATTTTAGGTTATTATTTAGTATTTGTGTGCCATTATATTATTAAAATCAAGCAAAATTGGCAGGTTGTATTGATTATTGCATTATATTTATTTGCACTTTAAATGATCTGAGTGGTAAAATGTTGTGGGCCGTTGGGGGGTTTGGGAGCCTCTGCATTGGGCCACATTGGGACATTCCTCGCAAAGATATGTCCGGTGTTTGAGTTTGCTTCTAATGTTTTGCTGTGGATCTACAAAGCTGATGTAGCTAACAAATATTGGAAGCTTATACCCCACCAATTAGCAGTGTGATTTATGACAATGTATGACACAAGTATGCACAAAAGTCCTTTTAGATGGCTGCTAGTACAGTTTTTTTGCAACATAAGGTACTTCTGTCCATTTTTGTTGTAAACAGTAGGTCATACAGTGTCAGCCTATTTGAGATCACTTAGTAACTCGATACGATTTGACACTTTTTTGGCTTTTTTTGAAACTTGGCTTCCATTGCAGTACTAGCTACATTAACATGATAATGCAAAACTAAAGAAGCAGATCTCAGATGCCGAACATATCTTGGCTGATCTACTACATTTACAGAAAGAGAGAAAACTGTGTGTAATAGATTTTTCAGAACTGCCTTTTTAACTAGACACTCTGTGAACACTATGATAGTAGAGCTCACAGTTATAGATCGATGGGAATATTCAGTTTCTGCAGTTGTTCAGGGTCACTGTTCTTTAGATAAACCATCACTCTGGTGCTCTCTTTGCTGACGTCCTCCCCCTCCCAAAGCCCAGAACACAGTCCCTAGCCTCATCCAGGACCAGGCCTGACCTGCTCCAGTGCAGACGCTGATAGATGATACCATTACAAAACCCTGAATGAGGCTGTACTTAACTGTGAAAGTGACCTGGACTCTATAGATTGATGAGTGCAATCTCCACCAGAAAACATCTCTTGCATTTCAAGCAAGTTCTGAGTTTACTGCACCTTTCACTGGAGCTGATGCACTGAGCCGTGGCATCTATTAAACTGGAAGCTTCTTTTTGTCTTCTTTCACAGGTCATGAACATCCGAAAGGTGCTGAATCGCTTGGACAAGCCACAAGGGCTGTACCCCAACTATCTGAACCCCAACAGTGGACAGTGGGGACAACGTAAGTCTGTTACTTAATTTTTTTTCCTCACGCTGTCTCTCTACCTCACACTTCCATACTGAATATGCTCCTAAAAATAAAGGCCCGTAATGGCTCCTGGCTTGGACATGGCATAGAGCCTTTACATTAGAGTTAATGGTGTAGCAATTCATTCTCTGTCTTGATGCACCAATTATAATTTCTCCCAATACAACTACATCAATCAAAAAAATTAAATAAATAAAATGTACTTCTTTGTATTGGTCAAAAATCTGTTTTATAAGCTAGAAAAGAAACAAACTGTGTTTTATTAAGAAAATGAACGTTTAAACAAGCATATCTCATGTTAGGGTTGCACAACATTGACAAACTACAATGTTCAGTAAAGCTGTCTGATGTCACGATGACAGTATGAGAAGTGACAAATTACTATTAAAATGATGTGTCTCTGGTTGGATGGACATTTTTTTGGATGTGTAAATGCAAATCTAACTGATCTCTTTAGGCACTGTGTTCTTAGTTGGTCTTATTTTGAAGGACTTTGGAGGACGTGACGTAGTGAGCTTCAGTAGCCCAGCTGGCTTGCAGCAAAACAGCAGAGCCTGAGCTGTTTTCCCTTTTGCTGCAGCTGTTTTGAGTTGAACCTCCATTAAAACTGAGTTATGGGCAACAATTTATGATCTCTGAGTGTGTATTTTGTAGTTGCTGTTCGGCCGAGTGGTGAAGTTGCCCGCTCTAACGGTGTGTTTATTATGAAAACTCATATCGCGGTGATGATAAAAATACGATTTATCCTACAGCCCTGTTTCACATAGCATCCACCAGCACTGTGTGATAAGGTGTTTTCATCCAACTGGTGGTATTAAAAGTCATTGGCATGTTTTTGTGCCACATTATGGTTCAAGATTTGTTGCAAACTGCAGTTCCCACACACATGTGGAACGTCTGATATCTATTGTACATTAAGCTAGCCACAACAACCAGGATTGGCTATCCACGTTTGTGTTCAGTGGGTTTTATCTCACAACCCTGTGTGTCATGCAAACATGCACTTTTTAGAGCAAAATATAGTCACTAACCCGACAAAAAAGTGATTAGGTTTTCTTTGAAGCTTTTAAAGTGAGATCCACTGACAAGTTTGCTATTGCAAATACTAGTTAGTTGCACGCAAGTTTTATTTGTTTGCAGCTGTGTTTTGAGATTTAAAAAAACAACAGTCTGTGTTTGGTTAATTTGCATGTTAGCCAAGCAACCCTGTTCTTTTGGGGTATGCAGTTCTTGGCCACATTAAGGAATAAAATGCACCAGACTGGGCAGAATGGATAGGCGTCTGGTTTGTGGGACTGTCCTCTACTGAAACCATTTGAAGACTTCCTCACATTTTAAGTCTGAACATGATTAAGTTGTGTGTGTGTCCAAAAACAAAATAGGGTGCCAAGTCACATGTTATTGTCAGCCATAATTTCAATTGGACCAATAATAATTACATTTTCTAATTTATAGGCGAATTATGTATGGCCTGCTGATATATCAGGCACTAATACTCTCTTGCCCTATTCCAGGATAGTAATTCAGCAAGGAAAATCCATGCATGTAGTATGTTCCACTCTTCATTTGTTTAATTTCCAGTCAAAATGACCCTTAAGGGTTAAGTTATCCTTTATTCACCATCAGGTGGAAAAAGCAGAAAACATATCTTTAACAGAAAATGACACAAAGGTTTCAACAAATAAATGCTATATTTTCAGTATGTGATGTGTCCATGCTTCACCTTTATTTCACTTTCCATTCTTTTCAGGAGACTTGCTTTTAGTTTTCCCAAGAAATCTACAGAGATATTTTTACACATTACTGCAGGTCATTAAAGAAACCTTTGTAACTAATTAGTTGATATAATCATAATTAAATGATGGAAAAGCATCCTGGCCTCTCAGGTCTCCTACTGCACTCGGTGCTCAGTTATGAAACGGTGAACTGTGTTAGTAAACAGTGCACAGCCTCTCTCAGTGTAGTTCCTCTATGTGCTTTGTGCTGACGACGTTAGATCCATACAAAATTCACATCAATTCATAGCAGCCAACATAAACATAAAGAGCAGTGTGTGTGTGTCTCTCGCCCTCTCTCTCTCTCCCAGAGGCGCTCACATGGTGTCTCTGAAAGGTCAATGAGATGAGTGCAGTAGCAGGTCAGCCTGTAGTGAAGTGTGTTTTGCACACATATGAGCACGCATCCATACAGCCTGTGTTCTTCTTGACTTAGGAAGAGACTCTGGGCCTTTTTAAAGACTTTTTTTGCATGAATTTGGGAGTGAATTAATGGAGCGCAAGGCTTATTTATGGCACTTCAGGATAATCACAGTCTTAAAATGCTTCTCAGATACACCTATTTTCTACTTTCCAGCTTATAATTGAGTTTGGTGTGGATTTGCTACAGACTCAAATCTTTCTTTGAACAGTCTTCCTTTTGTCACAGGATGATTTGTTCTTTGAGGGGATTTATTATGACAAATCAAAAGCAAAAGTCTGGGCCTTCAAAGTCAGTTACGACCTATTATGTTACATTATGCAGTCTTTAACAATCTGATGAACTGCATCTGTTGGATGGAGCCCTGGAATAATACTGCTTTTATTTAGTTATTAAGATGGGTTAGTGGTGTAGTTGTAATGAGTCCTACACAGTAATAATCTGCAGAAAAGGTCTTGCTTATGAGCACAGTGTTGCATCCTGCAGTGCAGATTGAGGTTTGAATCTCAGCTGTGCTTTGTGCCAGCTGTAGCCAGCATTCTCCTGAGTCAGATGCAATCCCCGCATATGTCCGTCACTGCCTTATTGCTGTACTTTCATAACTAATGGCTCACCAATGTAAACAACTAATCGCAACCGCTCCTCCGCTGAAGTTCCTCCGCTCAGTGACTCACCCGTTAATTCAGTCATAGTTCTGATTCACTTAGGCCCCTAGCTAACTCTGTAATAACTTCTCAGAGTAATTGCCGTGTAAGGATGAGATTGGGCTCCAGTGCGCACCCTGCTGCTATCTCTTTTTGAGTATTGCTTCATTACCACTGGGATGATGAAACTATAACGGTAATTACCAGTATAATTTTCTTTTTGTTAAACATGTGAAGCATCTCATGGACCTGGCTTGTTACTCACTCACTTGTGCTGGGCAGGCTTCTCCACAAGGGGGTGCAATTCTAAAGTAGCTTTAGGGACTTCACAAAAGCGGTGCTGAGCATGAATGACACAGAGTGTCCTTGTGTTTGAGGTGTTTTTGATAAAATGATTAAGGTATTCCATTCTGATATTAGATGAGGTTTTGTGCTCCTCTTGATAGAGAAAAAGTCTAGCCGTTCACTTACAGCAGCAAAAAGCAGGGGGCTGGGGTTTGGCTAGTCAAGTGTTGCTGCTGGCTAAATGGTATACAGTTGTAAGCAAACATTACCAGTAAAATTACATGTTTTGTTGAACTTCTAAATGAAAGTAGCTCGTTCTATACAGGAAATAAACTTTAAATATGGCTTTTTTCAACAGATTTTGGTGAGCATTTTTTTACTTGAGTTTAACATATCAGAAAAGTATAAAATGTAACATGTACTATAACTTTTGCACAGGCTGCATTTTTTGTTGTAGTTAATTCCCCAACATGTTAAATTGAGCAAATAAACAGTAGTCATGCATTAAAATGCATGGAAGTGCCTTCTGTAACTTATTTTCACTTAAAAAAAAAAAAATCTGCAAAATGTCATTTGGGCAGGGATGCACAGACTTTTGCATACAACTGTAAATTCTGATAGATTAATAACGGCATGGTTTACCGTAGACTTTGTTTAGACATAATCTTTTTCTGACTTTTTTGTTTTCTAAACAGTATTTCAGTCTTTGTTTTATTATACAAATTTTTTTTTCCCCAGAGGAAAATAGTTTTGGGGGACACTTAAAACATGAAAAAAGCAATTTATTTTTTCTTGTCTCTTGGCTTTTTTATCATTACTCATGCATGAGCACAGAGCATGATTCTCCTACCCATGCTGAATACCATTTTTACAGTGATGCCATCAGCCAGTCAGCATTCTTTATTCTTCAATTCTTTGTTTTCCTAAAGCAGTCACTTATGCAAAGTTTACCACTCATGTCATTGGCTCAAATTTTGGTGGTAGAAGAAGGTTTCTCTGGGAGTACATATGCCACTGAGCAAATCCCATTGAAATGAACATGCAGTATTTAAGACTGTCCTGGTCCTGTGCTCCCTCCATGGCGCAAGGCAGTGAGACAGTTTGCAGTTAGTTGCATTTGCTAGCTTTCTGTTTTAAAGCTGCACTATGGCAGACCTTTTGGTTAAAATTGAAAGAAGTATTACTTGGAGGAATAAAAGGTCACTAAATTATGGTGTGCATACACTTCTGCAAGTCACTCTCTAAAGCCCATGTGTCAAACACAAGGCCCATGGTTAAAATACCAAAAGTATTTTATTTTTCTATCATTATTAGCTTGTTTCACAATGCGCTGCACTTCAGTCCCCAGCTTGCACTGCAACATAATGTGCTCAGACTCTCCTACCCCAACAACAGTATATGGGACAGCAGTTACACCTCAATTCTACACAATTCCACACCAGTCATATAACCAGATGCATTTCAGCAGCAGTTCAGCCAATATAATTACTTAACGTCAGCTCAGCAGCTCAGAAATTTTGCCCAATTATTAATGAACTTGCAGCAAAGAAGATGCCAGTTGTCAAAAAAGTAGGTTTAAAAGACTGAGCACCTGGGTACATTTCAGTTTTAAATATTTCAAGTGTCTATGTAACATTTCAAGGTCTACTACAAGTGTCTATACTTTACTGTTGAAGTTTTTGCATATTTTGAATAAACAGCGGCCAGTTCGAGTTACAGCACAACATTAATTAAAAATTAAATAAAAACTTTTTTTTTCTCTGGCCCACGGATTTGATGAGTTTTTTCAATATGGCCTTTTTTACTGGTTTGACATCCCTGCTCTAAAGCCTGCAATAAAAAGTCAGA